AATTGATAACAACTGAAGCACATCAAAACTAAGTTGAACTTGATTCGAATGAAATGAAATTGCTCACATAGTCATAAATAATGTATATTAACTAATTTTTTAGAACATTTAAAATGCAAATTTAAAAAAACTTAACTGAACACTCAACACCGACTATGCACACGGCCAATGAGATCATCTGAAATTTGAGTTTAGTGTACTCAAAATCGCGAAAAGCACATCAAAACTAAGTTGAACTTGATTCGAATGAAATCAAATTGCTCACATAGTCATAAATAATGTCTATTAACTTATGTTTTGGAACATTTAAAATGTAAATTTAAAAAACTTAACTGAACACTCAACACCGACTATGCACACGGTCAATGAGATCAACCCAAATTTGAGTTTAGTGTACTCAAAATCGCGAAAAGTGCAGGAATTCAGCGATGAGTAAATTTGCCTCATGTTTTCCTGTGGAAAACCTCAAAAATCTGCTGGAAAATACTACAAATACTACCAAATAGACTGAGAGAATCCAATCTTTACTTTATCATATTCGGGAATTTTTTCTTGAAAAAACCTGGAAAAACATGAGGCAAATTAACTACCTTTTTGCGATTGATGAGTGAACTAAACTCAAATTTGGGTTGTTCTCATTCGCCGTGCAGGTATTCCATTCTATACTACCCAAATTTGAGTAGGATCTACTCAATAATCAAAAGTTCATTTTTTATAAAACGTTCAAAAAATTAAACGCAAATTTGAGTTCAGTTTACTCACAAACGGCAAAAAGTGGATTTACTCAAACATGAGTAAACTTTTGCCAGAAAATTTGAGTAAATGACACTCATTCATTCAAAATTATAGGTAAAAGTTAACTCATTTTGGAGGAAATCCACTTTCTGCAGTTTTGAGTAAATTTAACGCAAATTTGAGTGCTTGCGCGAGCAAACTTGCGTACAAGATTATATTATGTTGTATTTGCTCGCGCACTTGCGTGCAAGTTGCCCCCATTCTGGTGCTAATGGAAAATTTGATTGCTCGCGCGGATCGACTGCTCGCGCATTTAACAGCAGTTGATTATATCTCACCCCAGCAGGCCTGGGTTCAATCCCAGTCGGCGCCGCCGACTGAGGCATAACATCTCTGATCACGCCTTCCTTCAGAAGAGAAGTAAAGCCGTTGGTCGCCGGTTCATGAGTTGATGGGCCATAGGTAGGATCCAGGTATGGGAGCTGCCTCCCTGGCGTTGGTAGCATTGGTGTTCAGCACGAAAAACAAGATCGACGGAAAACAAATCAATAAAAAAATCTTTTGGTAAAGTGAAGCGAAAATATTCGATGTTTCTACATTCTACGAATCTACATCTTTCAATATATTAATGTTCTCAAAAAAAAAAAAAAAAAAAAAAATGCCGTGGAATCAAAATACAACTGATGTAGCCGAAAGCTTTATATTTATTTTTGAAAGGAGTTTATTGAGTAAATTTATTTTCCTTAATTAATAACACTAAACAACATGACTTTCTAGGACAGGATTTTGAGAACTCATGCGTCGCATGGTGAGTTTTCCACTTATCGGGTCGCTTCTATAGCCTCAAGACCCGTACTAATCTGAACATTTTCCGGTCATATCTTCGTATTCCAAAAATATTCAATAGCGTTCAATGTGACCATGGTATCTTTCATTTGACGCTTGTTGTGTATAATTTGATGCAGCAGTGAAACATGTGTTACTTTATTTCGTTTGATAAACTGAGTAGATTAGGCTTCCGGGATTAGGCTTGTATTTCAGATGGGTATAAATTCTAGTACCCAGACGGTAAGTTAATAAAAAAGCGAATTTAGACGACTAAAGATAAAAAAAAATCATCACTCGGTTTGAATGATTTTCAAGCCCTTATACCTTCCAGGAATTGTTATTAACCCACCTTGGACCATGAACTACCGACTCTAAAGCATTAATTAAGTTATCAGGCTCCAGTTACCTCATTTTTAAAATAAACGCTGTTAATGCCCTCAAGTACCACCTCTTGCAAAATGATCACTAATTTGCCAATTCGATTCGAATCGAAACGGTAGCAGCATTTTAAATTAAATGATGACAAGGTTCGAAACGCAAAATGTCTTACTCGAAGTGGGGGCAGTGCAAGGCGCGATCCTCTCCGTCACGATTTCCAAATTAAATTCAAAAGCTTCATCTCAAACCCGTCAATTTTGGGCCGAATGGCATTATACAAACCATTGCGTTGCTTCGGGGGGCCACCGGAGATTCCCTCCTGCTGGAATGACACTCACTGACCAAGCGACGTAGCACGGAATAATTAAACCTCCCGTCCTTACCCAATTCGGTCTTAACGGTTATCTCTTTATTTAATGAAATATTTACGAGCGTTCTCATTTTTCGCTTACCGGTCCTGTTGTTGTCGTAGTCGCGACTCGAAATCAATTGAAAAGTTTCAATTTCAGCACATCCTTGGACTCCTTTGCCGGACAGGATCTCACTGTAGCTTCATACCACTGCATTATGCTTTACGATACTGAATTTAATTACATGACGTTCGCTCTCGAATCTCTCGAAATAGTGGCCGGGCACCCAGCAGTCAGTAGTGGAATGCCAGAAAACCGTGTCAAAACCCAATATTTAGGGGCTGTAAATTTTTATTGCAAATCACCACCATTTGGTGGTATGGTCGGTCGCGTTCCCGCATCCTGATGGGCTGCGTGTTGATCGAATTCCGAGTATACCTACAAAGTCGTCGTGCAATTGGATCGAATTCATTCGGCATGGCTACCATTTCAGGGTGTGTCCATCCGCTTGAGACTACTCCAACGGGGCAAACTGCACGAACAACCCCATCCTCATCGGAGAAGATTCACCGATGAAGATTCCCTATATCCAATTCCTCGTGGGAGCCTCTCTGTAAACAGTCATTTGGCTGATTATAGTGCCGGGGTGTCATTTTGGTCAACTCCCTTCGTGCATGCAACAAGTCACTCCGGCAAAGGGGCAAGACTGATTATACGGTTGATAATGTGCAGCTAGGCCACTATGAGAGTATAGTCTTACTCGCTCAGGAGAAAAGGGTTAAATTGGCAACCATGGCGAGATTTCGTTTTGCGGTTAATTGTAAATTAATTGGCGGAAATTTATGAAATGATACGCTTCGATTGTGAACTAATGAAAACGTTTGCTAATTTATTGGCTCGTTTATGAAAAGTGCAGTAACCGTAGCAGCGGTGGTGGGTGATGACTTATAATCTAGATTGGTAGAAAATCATATATGCAGACGGATGGTGACAAACTGGTACAGAATTTCAAGGCAACCTTGTACACGATTCTTGCATTATGATTTCAGGAAGTCATTAATCTTACATAACAAGTTTCTGCGATTGTTGCCAAAAAGTGCCCAATATCAAGCGCAATTTCCGTGATTTCCGGATTTCGTGCGACAAATTCGAGGTTAGTTTTTTTTTCTGTCCCTCTCGAATCGGCTCCAATCCTTTGAATAGGTAGAGTTTGAATGCAGATGCTTGTTGACGAATCACATTCAAATTTGTCACAGTCGTGCGCACTTTGACGCGTGATCCTCGGACGGCGACACACAAACGAAAAACTACATTTAGCAGCTTGTTTAATACATTAGCAACGGATTAGCGGATTGGTGCTAAAACTACCGGATTGTATTATTACAGCACATCAATACGGCTTCACTCAACTTAGTTTTTGGACACAGATGTTAATTGTGTGCCTGTATACATTATCCTCGATAGATTCGCGTATTTCGTCTACAATGTGCAGACTTCTTCAGTGTCTTGTACTAATACTCGACTGAAAATCAATTATTTAATTCATGTGTTTCACTTATAAATTGTATGTTTGTGTATTTATAAATCTCATTTGACACATGGTCTGCATCAACTTTTTTGCAAGGCGTCTGCTTATTAGTCGACTTATACATTTATTAAATCATCAGCAATAGAAATTTGCCAAACGATTGGGTACGGCTGGCATTCAACGGTGAAATCGCTAGTGAAAAATTATCAAAAAATGGTCTCTATTGAATTTGTTTCTAAATGAATTGAATTAGTTGCTACTAGTGAATGTGGTATCTTAATTTAGTCACACATAAAGTGAGAAGCATAATTTTAATCTAGAATTGGAAAAACCTAACTAAGATAATTTGTTACAGTGTCTAAGAGTAGCGAAAACCTAGACCTTTCGTGGACATTCTTTTTTGCTTGCAAACACCGAAAGTGTGAGTTAGAATTTGTATACCTAACTTAAACCTAAACCAAATTTAATCCACTTGCAGTTTAAAGCCATTTCTAGATATTTTTGGAACGATGACGACATGTAGATGCCAAAAATTGTAGTCCAATTCCATTTTAGAATCCAAGATGCTGGCACTCGGGATCAGATTTTTTTCAAATTACCATCAATATGGATATTTACGGCACGGGAACGACGCGTAGATGCCGAAAATCGATATCCGACTCCATTTTGTAATCCAAAATGGCAGCTGTTGGGCTCGGAAATGTTTCAAATATCCTCCAATATGGGTATTATTAGAACGGAGATGACGGGATGCTAAAAATCGATGTCATTTTAGAAGCAATAGAACATGGCGGCCATCGGGTTCATAAAATATTTCAAATACCCTATAATATGGAAATTTTTTGAACGAGGATGACGCGTATGGAAGCGTAGTGTATTTTACACCTTTTTTTTTAAACAGGTGGCCACTATCTTGGATTCCAAAATGGAGTTGGACATTAATTTTCGACCTTCACGAGTCGTCCGCGTTCCGAAAATGCACATATTGTAATGTATTTCAAAGGTTTTTGTAAACTAATGGCCGCCATCTTGTATTCCAATAAAGCAACGTACATCGATTTTAAGCCTCTACAAAACCTTCCCTATTCAAAAATACCTATATTTTAGTGTATTTGACACTTGTTTGATACCAATGGCTGCCATCTTGGATTCCCAAAAATCACATGGGATGTTTTGACTAGTCAAGTTGTACATCAGACATGAAACTTCGGCGAAGGACGTTTCGCCGAAGATTGTTTCGTCCAAGGACGTTTCGCCGAAGAACATTTCGCCGAAGAACATTTCGCTGAAGGACATTTCGCCGAATGGGTCATACCGCAAAATTTTACAACTCGAAAGAACTGCTCATGTTTAAAAGAAGGAAGCATTTCTATAAATCAAAAATATTGATTATTTAAAAAAATCTGAAATCAGCACCATTGAAAGAACTGGTCATATTCAAAAGAAGGAAGCATTACATTTGAATAGCTAGTCAGGTTTAAAAAATCGAACCTTCTTATTTTTTTTTTGAGACTGATTTCAAAATTTGCAGAGCTTCGAGAAAATGGCTTGCTCTTCGGCGAAATGACCTTCGGAGAAATGACCCATGCGGCGAAATAACCTTCGGTGAAATTATCCATTCGGCGAAATAATCTTCAGCAAAACGTTCTTCGGCGAAATGTCCTGCTCGAAGCAACAAGTCTCTGAATTCCCGGGACAGAATACAGGTGGTATTATCCGAAATGACCACTTCTGGTACTACATTTCGGAAGAAACATTGGTCTCGGAGTACAGTGCAAAGTGCACCACTGTCTATTTTCCGGAACGGCCATAACAGAACCCACTTGCTAAACAAGTCCACGATAGAAAGTATATATTGGTTCTGCTTCTTGCTTCTGGGCAATGGTCCGATAAAGTCAATGGGCCTCCCTTAGCTCAGTCGGTAAAGGACCAGCTACAAAGCAAGACCATGCTGGAGGTGGCTGGGTTCGATTCCCGGTCCGGTCTAGGAATTTTCCGGGTTGGAAATTTTCTCGACTTCCCTGGGCATAGAAGTATGATTGGACTTGCCACACAATCATATCAATGCAAAAATGGTACAGGCATCGAAAGCTCTCAATTAATAACTGTGGAAGTGCATCTAGAACACTAAGTTGAGAGCACGCAATAAGCTAATATGCGATATGCAATAAGCTTGAAATGCGAAGGAGAAGAAGTCAAGGGCTATGATCTGCCAAGGGTGGGTGGTAATCCTCTGATTTCCCATAGGGGGTGTTAAGGCTATATTGGGTGCCTTATTTTCCTTGCATATGAGGCCAACAGAAACGGTGCCGAAGTCGCGCCAGGGTTTTATCCACCCCAAAATGCATATTCCTGGATAATTCTTGGGCGCTCTTTAGGTGCAGGAATCAAATTTCAATCAAATCGGGTATCGTGGAGTTTATCTGGACTGGAAACGTATTTATATAATTCGCCATCACGGAGTTGGTAATCCACAAACTGAACAGGAGACTCTGAAATTCTTACAACGAGCTTCTCGAACCAGGTCACCGACGAATCTTCGTAAGTATGAACATATGGTCGATGTGATCCAATGAAATGCTTGGGGAGAGGTGATGATTACTTATAATATATTGAGTGTTTTTTTTTAGTTTTTGGATATTTTTGAAATCTCAGATTGGAAAATATAGATATAGATATAGATTTCGAGTGAGTTTCTATGAGATGTTCTTATTAAATGTGGGTTTCCTAAATCCTTATACGAAATGTATATTCAGCAGATATTATGGAAATTGCAATTGCGTTTTTTGTTTAGTGCAATTGTGTCTTAATGTAGGCATTTTTTTTAATATCACTGATAATTTCACAGAAAATCACTACATTCTAATATTTTACCACAGACAGACAGACATGACACTATCATATTTTTCATCGATCACGCATCGAACGGTCACTTTAAATTGGTCATAGTTGGTACACGGTAATAAAAAATACCCAAAAAATAGCTTTAAACTACTCAAAATTGAGTATATTGCTTAAAGTCTCCCGTTGGGTAAAATATAAACTGACAGGTAAATACTTTTTACTCATAGGTTGAGTAAATATTACATTACCTAGCTTTGAGTAAAACTTCTAATTATGCCCTTATCATAATCATGGTGTGTGTGTGTGTGTGTGTGTGTGTGTGTGTGTACTCCCTCCAACCCCCTCTGGCCGGCAGTGATATTATGGCAGAACTCTCTCTACAATGTCACATTTATGGTCATTGTGGACGGCTTTAGTCCGGGAGTTAGAAAGTGATAGCTCTATTGCAGATTCAGCAACCCATTTCAGAATGTCTGGAGTGTCACACCCATTCCGAGGTTACTTTCACTTACACTAAGCCCCGCATGTATGCATTATCGTTATCAAATGGTAATTATTACATACACGCTTCCAGGTACGAAAATATTCTTTTCAAACCTGGCACGTAGGGTAGAGAACTACTTCGGCCTAATCGCCCATTTTGGGCCTATCGAGCAGAAAACTTCAAATAAATCCATGATTTCAGAGTTAACAAGTCAATTGTGCATTTGGTACGATACTTTAGTCAATAAGCTACCAAACGAAGTCAATGAAAACGCATGATATGAAGGTTTGCACCCATTATTCCCAAAAACAAAATAAGCGCTCCGACCGAATCAATTTTTATCTTCATCCGATAGGCCGAAGTGAATTCATTGGTGTTACAATTGTGTTTCAATGCGTTAGGCCAAGTTTAGAATCCGTAGGCCGAGTTTGGCATCAAGAAGCAGTGTTAGACTTTTGACAATATCTCAACGATTGGTTTCTCTTTATCAAAACTTAAAATACGTACGGAAAGATAAATAAATTTGAAAGCCATCCGTAATAATAACATTCTGTTTATTAAGAAAGACAAAGGGTGGGTTTTGCGTAATAGGCCGGAAAAAGGATAGATAACCCTATAAACAAACTTACCCCTCACAGGAACTCGTCAGACGCACGCCACGTCAGCTACGGTTATGGCTTGGTGGAGTCCCTGCAACGCTCGGTCGATGTCCTCCACGGTGTTAAGCGGTGGGTTGTCGATGATGTGTCTGTCTATCACGCGTCCAAACTGGGCCCAGTCCACGCGGTGGTAGTCCTTGTGCAGACTTGGAGCAGGGGCCACGTTGTAGCCCAGTACAGCCACCACTGGTTGGTGGTCAGAGCTGAGTTCGTTCAAGGCTACCGGCTTGGACAAGCTGGTATTTGACAGGAACAGGTCTAGCGTCGATGGGTTGCCCGCCGATGAGATGAATGTTGGCTCATTCGAAAACCAAACGGAGTACAGTCCATGCTGCGAGTGGTCGAATAGCAGACGACCATTCTGGTTCTGCTGGTAGTTCCGCCAGGCCTCATGGCGAGCATTTAGATCTCCTCCAACTACTAAGCGGGAACTGGTACGGGTGATGGTGGACAGGTCCTTTTTGAATTTAGCCGCTAGTCCACTGCTGGCGGCACACCGTCGAAGGCAGTAGACGGCAATGAACTGGACGTATCCAGTCGACGACTCCACCTCCACACCAAGGGCCTCGATGATAGAGGTGCGGATACTGGACAGAGTGTGGTATTTTATTCCTTTCTTGACGACGACCGCAACACCATCCCCTCCCTGGAGCTGGTGCGATCAAGCCGGATAATGTTGTGGTCAGGCAACCAGAAGCTGTCGCCGGACTTTAGATGGGTCTCGGTTAGAAGGCCCACGTCGATGCTGTGCTTGCGGAGGAAGTCGGCAAGCTCAATCTTTTTTGCTCTTACAGAGCAAGCATTCCAGGTGACGATAGTTAGCGGTTTAGACGCCATACTGGATGATGAACTTACCGAGCACTTGGATCTGTTCGGGCTTATTGCGGCACTTACGAAGAGCACCGGACATGTTGACGAAAATTTCCATCAGTTCATCCGCTGAGAACAGATCGGGGTTGTTGTTTTGCGCTGTTGGTTGTCTCCAGAATCCAGGGGGGGATGGAGAGCTTTGGCCAGCAGAATCACCGGAAGTTGCTTGAGCGGAATGCACCCGCGAATTCGCTTGCCTTTGCTGAGGAGCACGAAGAGGCGGGAAATCCTCCGTCCGAAATGCCGGGACTTTGTCCTTCTTGCGTCCTTGTTGGTTGTTAGTTGCCGCCTGTTTTTGGATGCGTTTGAAGTCCACGCGTTTGGAGCACTGTCTGTCGAAACCGTGATGAGCACCACCACAGTTGACACATTTTAACGCCACGGCTCCATCCGCAGGGCAGTTTGAAGTGGCGTGTTCGTGAGCGCAGTTGCTGCAGCGCGGCTTGATGTTGCAGTTGCGGCTACCGTGTCCAAAATTGAGGCACCGCTGGCACTGCGTTACGTCACGATGGCCGCCATGGTATGGCTCCCATCGTACGATGATGGAGTAGATCGATCGGATGGCTTGCAGCGCATTGAGAGTCAACGTCCGTTTCTGGAAGTGCACCAGGAAGAGACAATCCGGGTACGTCTTCACGTTTTCGTCTCTCATTGTCATTCGGAAGACAGCGATTGGGGATAGCTTGTACCGGTCCTTGAGTTTGTTAAAAGCGGTCAGACGGACCACTTCGCTAAGCCCTCGATCCCTGGTCTAGCCAACGGGGATCACTGAGGGTGGGTTCTACAACAACCTCTTTTTTCTGGCTTGAGCTCGAGCATGAAAGAGGAACCTTTAGGGTAGTCTGCCATGCCTCTACGGTATAAAGGGATGAGATACCTTAACATCTCAAAAACCATGATCCGCAGTGCGCATCGAAGCGTGACTCTGATAAAGAAAAACTCCGTCAAGATAATTGAGGAAACTAATTCATATACATATGATGAAACACTACTATGAAGTAATCAAGGAATTGAAAGCACTTTCTCTTATTTTATTAGCTTTTTATTTCGACTTACTGTGTGTGTGTGTATGTGGGTAGTGTCTCACGATGCGGCCGGATGCAAGCACGAAATGCGGGAATGTCGCCATTGCCTTGACGCTCGGGGTAAGGCCTACGCCGAATCCAAGAGGGACGGATCGTACGCCGGATTGGCGGATCACACTCCTTCAGACGTCGGCGCTGGAAGTCCAATCGCACGCCGGAATGGCGGATAACTTGCTGGACAATTCAGGCGGTTAATAATGGGTCCTAAGGAAAGAACGTCCCAGGGTGGGTATTACGAGGGCTACCGGGTATTTTTTAACTTTATTCTGTTTTGTGCTATGTCCTTTTACTCCATACCTGATTCTTATTTCACTTTCTAATCTAATTAGGTAACGGTGATTTCAAATGAACTTCTCTCTTTATCTCTGCTTTTTATAGGATAACAAACTTAACGCTTCGAAGCTCTGGATAA